AAAGTCAGAATTCTGAGAAAAAAGTCAGAATTCTGAGAAAAAAGTCAGAACTCTAAGATTTAAGTCAGAATTCTGAGAAAAAAATCAGAATTCTGGCTTTTTTCCCATACAAAACTGAAATAAAATTTAAAAATCAGTTAATTTTTTTTTTTTTCCACTGGCCCTAATCCTCTTCCATACTTTCTGGACTCTTCTTGAACAATATATAATGTTTAAACTCAAAACAAACATTTTTATTGACTATAAAAGTGTAATATTTTATTTTGTCCATGGAGACATGAAAGCTGCTTTTATTACAAATCTATTCATTTTGAATGGTAAATTTCATATAGACAAATGCAAACATTCCAAAACATCCCCCAACTTCAAATGTTTCTTGCTTGAATTTAAAGAATACAGAAAAACCCTTAAATTAATTGATTCTAAACAAAGCACCACATCCACAGATATTTTTGAAAGATTTTTCAAAGAATAGCGTAAGTACACTCCTTTTTATTATTTTATTTATTTATTTATTTTGTTTTGTTATTAGAGCACCTGTCTAATGTTCCGTGTAACAATATGTCTATATGTTTGTACAAAATTTTCAATAAAGTTCTAAAAAAAAAAAAAAACTTAAAAAACAACACGGAAGACAAAGAAGACTCAATTTCCCAGAGTGCACTGCGCATAAAGCAACAAATATGGCGGTTCGCTTCAACGTACTTTGACGTGACAGTTATCAACAGATGAGCTAAAGGGAATCTTTGCGAAGGTGTCAACATTTTTCATCGTGGTGTTTTTATCTGTTTCCTCTTTCTTGACTTCTGAGGTCTAAAAAAAATCATAAGAGAGAAAGCAATGCCTTCTCCTAAGGCTAAAAACGCCGGCCGCAGAGACGGAAGCCCGGTTCTCGGCAGCTCCTTTGAGTTCGTGTCGCTGACGAAGCCGCTGAACCGGTCCTCCTCACCTCACCTCCTCCAGCGACAGGGCTCCGACCCGAACACCGCCCGCCTCCGGGCCTCGGAAAGCCCCTCTCGTCGCAGGGGCTCCGGGTCCTCAACGGGCTCTGCGAGCGGCCAGGGGCCACCTGAGGAGGACGGAATACGACTCAACCCGTCCCTTATCGCCATCTCCCTCAGTTCCCTGCTCGCCATTGACCTCTGGCTGTCCAAGCGGCTCAGCGTCTGTGCCTTTGAGGACTCCTCCTGGGGCAGCGCGCGCCCACTGATGAAGCTGATCGAGATCTCCGGTCACGGCATCCCGTGGCTGGCAGGTGCTGCTTACTGTCTGTATAAGAGTGACAGTGCTGCAGGACAGGAAGTCATGCTCAACCTGCTGCTGGGTAAATACACTCTCCTCATCATCACTATCTTTTCTCTTTCCAGTTCACCAGATCATCCAGTTAGATTGATTCAAAGTTTTATATCTTAGGAAAACCAGTTGATTGCATCGACTCATTGACCTAATGCAATCCCTCACACTAAGCATGCT